CCCTATACAAAAATGAACTCAACATGGATTAAAGATCTAAATGTGAATCATCCCTAAGTTATGAAGATCATCGATGAAAAAATAGGGACAAACGTGAGGACGCTAATTGAGGGCATATACAGACTGCCACACATTTTGAAAAGTACACAAACAAAAATAGACAAAATAGACGAGTGGGCCATACTAAAAATTAAAAACTTGTGTGCATCAAAAGACTTCACCAAGAAAGTAAAAAGGGAACCCACAGACTAGGAAAAAATCTTTTGCAATGACATATCAAATAAGGGACTCATTTCTAAAATATATAGGAAAACGCTACACATCTACAAAAATATGACAAATAACCCAATTAAGAAATGGACGCAGGATATGAACAGACACTTCTCCAAGGAGGAGATGCAGGCAGCCAATAAACATATGACGAAATATTCATGATCACTAGCCATTAGAGAGACGCAAACCAAAACAACAGTGAGCTATCATCTCACACCAGCAATAACAGCAAAGATCAACAAAGTTGAGGACAATAATGCTGGCGGGACTGAAAAATGGTCCAACCTCTCTGGAAAGCAATATGGTGCTTCCTCAGAAGGTTGAAAATAGAATTATCATTTGATCCAGCAATTTCTCTACTTGGTGTTTACCCACAAGAAAAACGAGCCACAACATGGAGACAACCAGAGTGCCCATCAACTGAAAAATGGATACACAAGCTGTGGTACATACACACAATGAAGTATTATGCTACCTTGAAAGATAACAAGGAAGCTGCATGCCACTACCTAACATGGATGAACCTTAAGGACATTATGTTGAGTGAAATTAGTCAGTCACAAAAGGTATGATACTGCATAGGACTACTACTGTAAAAGACTAAGAAAAAGAACCTATACTAATCCACTAAAGTGGATTCTTAGCTGGTTGCTGGGACGTAGGGGTAGGGTTAGGGGCGGGAGGGGAAGGTGGAGCACAGGGCAGGGAATAGACACAGGATAGACACAGACACATGGTGTTGGGGAGTGGGGCAATATACAAGTAGGGAGAGGGGAGTGGAAGAACAAAGCAGAAGGGAGAGAAATTAGATAGGTATTAATGGGATAAGTGGGAAAGAGGTAAACAATGATGTAGGCACAGTCTTAGAACAACAGGGCTCTGGGATACAGAGATTGAGACAGCACTGGAATGGGAAAAAGAGGGGAATAATGTTAAGATGCTTGGCTGTCTTTTGAACCTTGGTTTTCTGTGCATTATATTATAAAACAGACACTGGAGGGGAAGAGAAAGGAATAGCCAGAAATATCACCATAGAAAGCTTGTAAGTCCATCTTCTGCCTATAACTGATTGGAATACCTAAAATGGGGCTACAGTGTGTTCAGTGAAGGCGGTTTCCTGAGGAGCCTTTGCATTACATAAGACTATATGTGGAAGCCTGAACCACATCCAGATCTTCAGAGATGGGAAATTTTCCTCGTGAAAGAACGAACAGACCATCCTGGAAGAGCTAGAAAACGAGAAGATACTTCTTGAAAGAAAGACCTACAGGAAAAATATAAAACAATAAGGGCAGTCCGACTGTTACTACAAGAACAAGCAAGTTGCTTGCCCAGGAGACATTAAGGCAAGTGGTCGGGTCCTCTCAGTGCAAATCCTCTTCCAAGACTAAGACACAATGGGAATACACGCTCTGATTGGTGACCACGCACGTCACCCATAAGGGGAAGTGAGAGAAGAACATCAATGAAGCGGCGAGTTTAGCCCTACATCATTCAGCAGACTCCTGTGAACCTGGGTGGAGACCTGTCGGCCAGCAGTGTGGCAAGACCTGGTCTGGAGACTCATGGGCTCAGAGTCAATGACACAGCCACAGAGAACTAGAGTGGAGAGTGAAGCATCCAGCTGATAAGAGGAGGGTGGACAGACGCAAGAATACTCACACTTGCAGATGATACCCACTTGACCTGGCTTCAATGGATGAACAGAACTCAACCCGAAGAAGAAAGAGGAGGAAAAAAGCGTCATCTGAAACAGTATGATAAATTTGACCTACACCTATAAATGCAGTAGCTCAAAAGAGGAAACAAATCCTTGCTGCAAGAATTATTCCCACCCCCTCCATACAAAGAGTAGACAGGGATGGGCAACTTGGACATTGGCTACCCAAAATCGGGGGGAGGTATACAAAGGTAAGAAGTGACTGACTTACAAGCTTTCAAGAGGGAATCTAGATCCAAAGGGCACGGAGGAAGGTAGAGTCTCCAGTGAATAGTATCCAGCCTGTCCAGGAAGGGCTGATGAAATGCAGACGGGTCTCTTGTGATACAATAGAGAATAATTGTTATCAGGACTGATTGTGAGGGTCGGAAATGTAAAGGTGGACATTTTATAGCAAGGAGGGGAGTGATTAACCTTTCAGTCTAGGAGTGGAAGGCTCTGGGACCATCAATGGAGAAGAGCGGAGAGCGAGACCTTATCCAGAGAAGCACTGAGGCCTGAGATGGAGACAGAGAGGATGACATGAAGAGATGGAGTGGCTGAGATCCAGATGACTTGAGATCCAGAGATGGAAAGGGGCTGTGTGCTGAGGACCATGGGAGGGGGGTCAGGCTTGCAGGGTACTCTTTGGTTGTGTGATGATACATGGACGGGATGGTAACTATGGCAATGAAACGATGTATGATAGAATGAATGTAAAACTAATAAATAAAAAAAAGAAAAGAAAAATTAGCCTGAGTTTGAGCGATTGTAAGAGAGTACAAACAGGTCCTGGTGTCTTCTGTAGGATCTGCACTGACCTGCTTGCCACAAGGTCGGGAGTTCATATTCACCAGCTGATCCTCCGAATTCCTCTACAGGGTTGCAGACTGGATGGCACTTAATGGCAATACAGGAAGCTCAGTCTTTGGAGATCAGACAAAAGGGCAGAGCTGAGCTGCCCTTGAGAACAGTGTCTTTCCTATAAATCCTACTTTATTAGTACCAATTGCTGTCAAGTTGATTTTTAACTTATGGCAACCTCATGTGAACTGGAGTAGAACTGTATACCATAGAAGTTCCAATGGCTCATTTTTTCAGAAATTGATTGCCAGGCTTTTCTTCCTAGGCACCTCTGGGTGGAATAGAACCTCCTACATTTGGGGTGGCAGTTGAGTGCATTAGACTTGCACTATTTCTTACTAAAACAGAGAGTAATTCTCATAGCTAGTTGTCACACTACTTACTCTTTTCTCTACAAGTGTCTTTCATGGAATATACACAGATAAGTCAGAAGAGTTGGAGAAAAGGACTTGAGTTATGGCTCTTGTCCTGGACAGTGTTACCTTGCCAACAAGCGCCGACGGTCAGTTGCATGGCTATGTGAGACGGGTGAATGGGCCAGTCGTTGGTTACCAGGTATGGTTCATATGTTGCTCCATCCATGTATAAGGTAACCACTGGAAACTCCACATTGATGACATAGTAATGCCATTCCTTGTCACAAATCTAAATGAAGAGAAAGAGAAGCAACCGTTAAAATTGAATGTGCAATGCAACATCAAACAGACTTTTATTCTAATTTTATTAAAAGGGAAAAGGAGTCATTGTGAGTCAATAATTTTTATTTCAAAGGAACACAGTGAGGCTAGAGAAGCTTTGTCAAGTATGATGGGGCTAACCACTGGGAATAGGAGCACCCATGAATCCAATCACTGGGCAAATACTTGATGTGGCCAGGGTATCTTGGTCACATAATTATTATGTCTTTGGGCTGACAAGGTTCAAGTGGATACACGGGGTATTGATTCACTTTTGCTTTGTATGAAACTTTGCTTGGTTCTTTGGTGGAGAAAAAAGTTAAATTGAAAATATATTTCTGAGTTTGGGAATAGACGGAGCTGTAAAAAGAAAGGTGCTATAATGAAAGTAGGAATGATGAGGAAAGAAGAAATGAGGAGTTAGGAAGTGGGCAAAGAGAAGTATGAGATGTAGACAAATAGGAGCCCCCCCCCCCACCAGTCATTTGTTTCTGTTTTAAGGTTTTCTAGAAAATCTGGTATAAACCCATGTGTCCTTCAAAATTAGTAAAGTGTATCTCAAGGAGGTATCTTTCCCAGCATGTCTCAGCTCTGCAACCTTCTCCCCTAAAGAAGGACCACACATGAGGTTCCACGGGCCTGGACTGTATATGGACCACAGTCACATACATCCTCTCCCAACCTTTTGTGCCCACGATGCCTGTTCTTACAGTTGGACACCAAAGGGAAACTTTGATGGACTGGTTGAGAGACTACCAGTTCATGAATTGGTAGGGCAGAGTCACTACTCCTCAAGTAGTGATTGAACCCCCAATATAGTACAGTGTGATCCAAATAGGAAATAAGAGAGATTGTAATCCCCCAAGCAGCTGCCTGGTAGTCCCACTAGATTCGCTCTTCTTTACTTTCTTCTCCCTCTAGCTCCTCCACACCCTGTGGCCTCTATTTCTGAAATCTCTGTCATTTATATCATCTCATCTCCATCATCCCTGCCATCTATGGCAGAGGAGACTGATGAGTTCTACATGAAGGTGACCCCAAGGTGAGGGCACCAAAGTCCTTGCTCCCTTCCTCCCACTCTGGATTAAATGTGTGGCATCTCATGAATAGATAACCCTAACAGTGATGCTAAATGATCTTTCTCCTTTCAGTTAGGAATTAAGATTTTTTTTTTCCTTAATGTTCTTTTTATATTGTCCTGTCTCATGTTTCAGAAAATTGCTCCTTTTGAAGCCCATTAGCTTGATAAAGGCTGATGAATATTTTAGGGGACCTTGGGAAATAAGCACGAGGGTTCAGACACATCACTCTAAAGTCCTGTTATACTCAGTAATGGGGCTGGTTTACACTAAGGCAGGTACAGGGCTCTGGGACTACGCCAGTGACTTGGATGGACTGATTCAGGAGTATTGTTGTTGTTGTTAGGTGCCATTGATCCAGGAGTATAGGGGTGACATAAAGGAAAAACTTAAAACTGTCTAAAGGGATGAAAGAGTAGGGAACTAAGGAGTTATCTGAATGAAGTATCCAATCCAAGGAGGCCCAGTACCCACTGAACTAGGGGTTTCCAGTTGAGGAGAGTGCGTCAGTACATGAACTCTGGGATATGGTTCATAAGACAGACCCTGGGGCTGTTCCTTGTGGCATCTTGAAACGTTTGGCCTGACCCAGGGTGGGAGGGGAGATGGTACTGGAGGTAGTCAGTGACCGAGTAACCACACTCCATGCCCTATAAAATGTAGGTAGAACACCCAGGAGTGTCCTGGTCTCAGCCACCTCCTCTCTGATGTTCCTGGCATTTGCTTGGGTGGACTCTACCATACAGCACACCCCAAGCCTGCCCAAGCTGGGGCAGGGGAGGCAAGGAGAGAAATCTTGCAGCTTCTTTCTGTGACAACACTCTTGAGGTCCCTGGTGATATAGATAGCTAAGCACTCAACCTAAGAGCTAAAAGTTTGGCAGTTCAAACACACCCAGAGGCACCTCCAAAGACAGGCCTGTCAATCAACTTTTAAAAGATAGAGACTGAAGAACCCCATGGGGTGCAGTTCTACTTTGCACACATGCGGTCACAATGAGTCAGAATTAACTTGACAGCATCAAACAACATCATTGCATTTTTGTTGTTAAGTGCTATTAAATCGGTTCCAACTCATTAGTGACCCTTGATAGAGTTTCCAAAGCTGTAAATCTTTTCAGGAGTAGGAAGCCTCATCTTCTTCCTGGGAGTAGCTGGTAGGCTGAAACCACCAACTTGGTAGTTCTAATTTTACACTACAACAGCAACAGTAACTTCGCTGAATATTTTACTATTTCAGTCTTTTCCTTGGCACTTTGCCTACCACCCCCCCACTCCCAACTACAGTTTAGCAGCCCCTACGGAGTCCTGGTGTGGTGCTGTGAGTTAATGAGCCAGACTGCAAAACCATTTGAACTGCAAGGTCGGCAGTTCAAGCTCACCACTTGCTCTTTGGAAACCCTATACAGGGTTGCTATCAGTCACAACCAACTCAACGGCACTTCACAACAACAATAACATGGATGCATGCTGTGGCACCGTAGGATCAGCACTGGACAGCGAACCACATGTCAGCAATTCAAATCTACCAGCCATGGAAAACTTATACAGGTTTGCTATGAGTTGAAACTGATTCAATGGCATTTAATAACAATAATTATGTTCTACCTAAAAACTGTGACACTGTAAACTGAGTTTCATTCCTGGACTTTTCCTGCTCTCATTAGTACATCCAAGGCTCTGAGAAGCCTCCAAGTAGCTGCCTGTGACACTTTCCAATCTTGCTGGGAAATAGAACGCTCCTATTTATAGCATCCCTATGAGCATTCTGTGAGACAACAGTTGGAAAAAGTCAATTTGTATCATCACACTGTAGATACAATTAGAAAGTTTGCATGTTTCCTTAACATCAGCATCAAAATGCCTCACCAGCTTCATTGTAAATGGTAGAATAATATGGATGAACTAGATAGAGCACATGTTTCATTGTGCTGTGCACAGGGTCACTGAGTTGAAAGTGACTCCATGGCATCTAACAACATAAGACACTTCATAATGAGGATAGTTGCTGTCAGATCAATAGAACACAATATTGCCCAGTCCTAAGGCATCCTCATAATTGCTGGCATGTTTGAGTGTATGTTGTGATTATTGTATCAATCCATCTCACTAAGGTCTACCTTGTCCTTGCTAGACCTCCATCTCACCAGACACGATTATTATCCTGATGACATGTCCAAAGCAAATGAGTTTCACATTGCTCTCTTGTCCTCCATAAGGTTTTCACTAATTTTGAAAAGCAGATCACCAGGCCTTTCTTCCTAATCTTAGTCGAGAATCTCTGCTAAAGCCTGTTCACCAGAGGTGGTCCAGCATCACAGCAACATGCAAACTGACAGACAATGGTACATAATATATTTAATTGTTTCTTTATTATCAGATTTTAATTAATATACCAGCTACTAGAGGACCTTTCTAAGGAGCTCTGGTAGTGTACTAGTTACGAATCGGGCTGTGAACCTCAGGGTCAGCAGTCCAAAACTACCAGCTGTTCCTCAGGAGAAAGATGAGACTTTCTATTCCTGTAAAGATTTACAGCCTTGGAAACCCTATACAGGGTCGCTGTGAGTTGGAACTGACTCCCCGGCACTTCACCACCACCAACAACTGTACAGAAGTAGCTCACCAGGCCTTCTGTCTGTGCCATCCATGGGTGGGTTTGAACCACCGCCAGTCTTCCAGTTGGTAGCAGATAGTAAACCCTACCATTTCAACCACCAGCTACTAGAAATTGGAGTCCTAGTATGGCACTAAAGGATAAGCACTGGACTGTCAACTGCAAGGTCGGCGATTCAAACCCACTAGCTACTCTTCGAAAACCCTCCTGAGCGTCCCTCTGAGTCAGAACGCACTGGATGGCAGTTAACAGCACCACCAGAAATGAATAATGCTGTAATGAATGTTTTTATGCATAAATATTTGCCTACTTATTATATCTTTAGGAAAGATTCCTGGAAATTGAATTACTAGGTCAAAGAAGAGAGACATTTTTAAAGCTCTTTTTGCCTATATTACCAGTTTATTTATTTATTTATTTTCCTGAAAGAAATGATGCCTCTTTATATTCCTGCCAGCTGAGTGTGAGTACTCATGCCCCATGTCTCACCTCATTGAGCATTAAAAAATGCAAACTCCTGGCAATTTAAAAGGAGATGTGTTTTTATCTCATTCAAATATGGGTCGCCAAAGATAGCAAGATACAAATTCTCCAAAATAAGAAGGGAGGGCATCGGGGAGCAAGGGACAGTCTGAGCTAAGACTCCAAGGTAGGAATGATTGAGAACTTCCCCAGCTGTCTCCTTACTGGGCATCCAAACAGGCTTCAAGCTTATACCCACACTTATGCCTGCAGATTTCTCATCTTTGACTGAAGCTAAAGGAAATACCCTAATTATGGTTCCATAAATGTAGATCGATGGTCATGAAGAGACCCGCATTAACACTCTGCTGGAATTGCAGGGACAAATTGTAATAGAAAAATGATCAAGCCAGGAGGCAGGAAAAATAAATATGTCAATGTATATATAGTTCAACCAAGAAAGAAAGAAATGAGGTAAAGACACATTTCCTGAGCAGGGAGAAAAGAACTTTCATTCCTGAGCTCTTCACAAATGTCTGGTGAATTCACCAGCACCAAGCATGTCCAACACCATCCTCAGAAAAGATCAACAGGCCTTTACAAGACCACAAGCGCCTGGCTCTGTGAAAACCTGCAGATCAGAGACCCAAGACCCAAAGACAAATGGAAGGGCAGAGGGGACAAAGCCATAGAGGTCCAAGTGAGCAGCAGGCTGGTGTTCAAGGGTGAGTTGAGGGACAGATGACAGCTTGTTTGCGTAGGCTGCTGACATACTGATCCAAATGTCATATAAAGGGCTAGGTTGTAAGTT